CTTACGTCGGCCGGAACTTGGCAAACTATGCTGAAAGACGTTCTTCGATTTTCCCCCCCGTTAGATGTTTTTATGAATTTAATTTTAATTGTTATTTTTAAACCGTAAAGTCCATTGAGACAAATGCGTTTTTAGTGAATTTTTGGCTATATAAATAAAATTGACTTGACTTGTTAATGCGCTTTGGCGCCCCCTGCCTACCCCTCTCTCTGGCTTGTGTTCAGCAGTGGGCATATTATGCATGTCCTTTTCCCTCCATCCAGGGATAAAAAGAAGATTTTTTGTGATCTTGCGTGTGTCCTCTGGTCTAACATCCCTTTAGATTTTACCGCAGGCCTCCCTCCCATGAAGCCAATGACTTTTTTTTTTTTAGGCTTGTGCGTTTTACCTCTTTGCCCAGATTATCCACTGTGAAGGAGATTGTCAAGGTTGTCCACTCCAAAATAGTTTGTCTTCATACCTAAGTATAGCGTGGAACCAAGGGCCCCAGTCCATCGCTCAGTTCGACGGCTTTTGCGCTGTTCTTTGGGGGCTTCTGTTAGCTTCTCTTCAACAGCCAAATGTAGCAGCAGCAGGACCAGGAAATTGGTCTATACACCCAACACATGGAGCAAACATTCTATTCTGGGATGTGAAAGAACTCTCTTTTGCTAGGATGTCTCGCTTTGCATTGATGTTGCCACGTCTCCCTGCAGGCAAGGGAAGCCTGGCTTAAGAACTTAAGAGCCAATGCCTGAGAGATGAAGGGTTCTCGCACCGAACTCCAAATAGAAGGACCCCTCGGTTAGGGCCGGGGCTCGAACTTCCTCGAAACAATTCTGTTTAGTAATTAAGCGAGTCATTTAGAAAAACAATACACAGCTATGGACAACACACACGTGATTAACGTGAGCCTGAGGTGACTGTTGTCCAAGTGTCACCTGGGACCATCAGAACTTGTAGGACTTCCTAACGTGTTTTAGTATTTTTAGGTTTTTGCACGACACACTGGGAAATTACTATTAGAATTTAACAAAATGAACGTACTGCGTATGTTTGAGTTTGATGCCATGTTGAAAAACAAATTGGTGGAAAGGATGGACGTGATATATTGATATATATATATATATATATATATATATATATATATATACATATATACATATATATATATATATATATCAGTGATTTTTTAACTTTTTTAAAAGGTTAAACGACACGTAAACTTGGACAACTTTATGAATATGAAGTGTCTTTTGCCGTTCTGTTTCTATCACATTCTCAAAATGAATCCAAAGTCTTACAATTATTTGTTTTCAGGAAGTACTGCATTGTGCTTCAAAATAAATAAATAATGAACTTAAATAATTAAGTTCGTTTTAAAATAAGGCTTTTTGTTTTCTCTCTCTCATATCTAACTGAATTATCTCTAAAATACATCAAACTAAATATGTTGCCGGGTAATGCGTTTCGTGTTTTAATTGAATATGGACGTTCGTTTTGCAGTTTAAACCGGCAGTTCAAAGATGTTTGAAGGGCTAGAGAAATTAAAAGACAACAACAAGGCCCGGCATCAGATATTTCTATAAAAGAAGTCTGAGACCCGTGGCTGCGTCGTTGTTTCTTCACCGACTTTTCTTTTTCTTCTCTCCTTCCTTTCTTCGTCTTCTTCTTAGATTTAGAAAATAGCTACTTCAGCTGCAATACGACTATACAAATCAAACAGTAACATTATGATAATTGGAAACACAAACGTGTGATATCAGAACATTGTTGTCCTGCGGGGAAAAAAAACAAACATTTCAATCACAATATTATTAACTACGTATTAACTACGTTTTTATATAAATTCGACAATTTTGAATTTATATTTAAAAAAATAATACATTATTTTTATTCAAAACATTCAAAATCGTTTAATGACTAGCTTATTGCGCCAACAAGTGATTTACTTCCGGTCCAAAAAAAACACACCCTATGTGTCAAAATAGCATAGAAAACTGTATACGTGACTGTATTTTATATGGGTTCTCAACATATATGTAATGTATATGATATTGTGTATGTATATTCTAGTCACCTCACCGCATAAAATATGTTTTTGGGAGACCTTTTCAACAACTACTTGGAGTTACAGAGGCGTAAAAATCGACACGGCGCTTCAAAGAGATTGCATTAGATTAGTTGAAATATGTAATAAATATTCACTATTTATTAAGGTGAATATTTATATTATGAATATATAATGAATATTATATTGAAATAAGGTAAGTATTATCTATCTATCTATCTCTCTATCTGTCTGTCTGTCTGTCTGTCTGTCTTTCGTCCCTTCTTTCTTTCATTTTCAGGACGTCCCACCTTAAGCATTTTCAGACGTAACGATTTCAATAACGATTGGTCTTTACATTGGTCTTTCCAACGTAATACCTAAAACACCGTAATGTGATCATCCCCCACCGTTTCGCTCCGTGTCTTTCTCTCTCTCTCTCCCTGTCTCTCTCTCTCTCTCTCTCTCTGTGCGTGTGTAAATGTATGTATACAGATAGCGAATGTGATCGCACATCATATTAAACAACATCACTGGGAAGAGAACCTTGATTGTAGCCCCTGATTACGATAGGAAAAAAAAAAACAACGCCTGTCTGGTCTTTAGCATTTCTATGAACTGTTTTTGTTATATATATCCCCCTTCAGGCAAACTTGCTCTTTTGATTTAGTTAAAATGATGTGTGCACCTCCTCCTCTTCACCCGCGCCCGACCCTCTCATCCGACTTCTCACCAGTCATTGAACTCCATTAAGCAGATGATGAC